ATCTATCTATCTATCTATCTATCTATCTATCTATCTATCTATCTATCTATCTATCTATCTATCTATCTATCTATCTATCTATCTATCTATCTATCTATCTATCTATCTATCTATCTATCTATCTATCTATCTATCTATCTATCTATCTATCTATCTATCTATCTATCTATCTATCTATCTATCTATCTATCTATCTATCTATCTATCTATCTATCTATCTATCATCTATCTATCTATCTATCTATCTATCTATCTATCTATCTATCTATCTATCTATCTATCTATCTATCTATCTATCTATCTATCTATCTATCTATCTATCTATCTATCTATCTCTATCTATCTATCTATCTATCTATCTATCTATCTATCTATCTATCTATCTATCTATCTATCTATCTATCTATCTATCTATCTATCTATCTATCTATCTATCTATCTATCTATCTATCTATCTATCTATCTATCTATCTATCTATCTATCTATCTATCTATCTATCTATCTATCTATCTATCTATCTATCTATCTATCTATCTATCTATCTATCTATCTATCTATCTATCTATCTATCTATCTATCTATCTATCTATCTATCTATCTATCTATCTATCTATCTATCTATCTATCTATCTATCTATCTATCTATCTATCTATCTATCTATCTATCTATCTATCTATCTATCGGTAGGTATGTCGGTCGGTCGGTCGGTCTGTCTGTCTGTCTGTCTGTCTGTCTGTCTGTCTGTCTGTCTGTCTGTCTGTCTGTCTGTCTGTCTGTCTGTCTGTCTGTCTGTCTGGCTAGCTGTCTGTTCGTCCGTTCAGGCCCACTCCCCCACCCACCTGCCTGACTGTCTGTTTCATTCCATTCATATGTCCGTCTGCCGTCTGTCTGTCTGTCTATCCATATATCTATCTATTTATAAATTTGCCTCTCTCATTCTCTATATTCAGCCTTACTTTAATGGTGTGTTCAATTAAGATGTATTTCCAGCAAATATGGCAGTCAGATCGGAACACGTAACGTTAAACTACCCCAAGCCTCTCCTATATACATATTAGGTCACTTCTGATTGGTAGTTCCTGAGCCTCGTGACCTTCGCACAAAGTCAGAGGGGTAGTCCGCCATACCCTTAATATCATGTGTTGTATATTTCAGCACGCCAGTGCTTTTAACGCTCCAAAAACATGGAGCAACTGGCCTAACACAACCCCGCTAGAGAGTGCTGCAACCTATGTCACAGGCATTCTCTTTTTCGGAATAAAAACGTAAATGCAAGACAACACTGAAAATAAATAATAGAGCGGGACATACCTGCAACCTTCAGGAAAGTCTACCAGCCCAACAAACTTGTATATGAAAAGTGACCTACTCTATTTGGGGAGACTTGCGGTATGTTCATCAGTTCCAACACAGCTTAGAAATAATGTTCTACTGAATGACAAGCTGGCAGCCATAAATGTTAGACTTGCCGACTTTATATATATATATATATATATATATATATATATATATATATATATATATATATATATATATATATATATATATATATACACATACATACATACATACATACATACATACATACATACATACATACATACATACATACATACATACATGCAAGACATATATATCTAATATATATATATATATATATATATATATATATATATATATATATATATATATATATTACTGACTAAGGGTTAGGGTTAGGCTTAACCCTAACTCTAAACCTAACCCTGACACTCAAACCATTGAAGGCTTTTGGATTAAAATCAAAGGGAAGCAACTATTGAAGCCCTGTAAGGGTTGGTTTTTTACCTAGATTATTCGGACTCATCATTCGGAGGAGAGCCTTCTCTCCTATCTGCTTGCCTGTTTACACATCATTCGCAAGGGTTAATGAATCTGTATCACTCCACGTTTGGGTGTTGGATCCCCTTTTTGGAGGGGGGAGGGGGTGGGAGGTAGGGAGGTGGGAGGTGACTCTTTGAGTCACAGGGGGTTTAGCATCACAGGCCCAGGTGGGAGGTGACTCTTTGAGTCACAGGGGGTTTAGCATCACAGGCCCAATGAGTAGTAAAGAGAGACTAAAATCGACACATCATGTGTTCATTGGGCTTCTAGGTAAGAACCTATGAATGTATGATGTGTTCTCTGGGACTCAGAGTTTTGACAGGCATGTTGTAAGAGTTAACTAATTAGGGAGTGTTTACTTCAACATCAAACTGTACCTGCCTGAGAGACGAGGAGCTAGCAGTCTGGATACAGATAAGTCAGATCTGGAAAACGGAAATGCACACACAAGTCAAGTCCTGGAAGAAGACAAAAGTCCAGAATTGGAGAAACTATCAAAAAATTTTTTTGGCAGCGTTTGCAGCCGGTGAATGCTAAGAAGAAGAAAGACAGGAAGAAGAAGAAGAAGAAGCAGAAAAAGAAGAAGAAGGAAAAGAAGTAGAATTATAGCCGATGAATCTCTGAAGTGATTCTAAAAAGTGCTTGAAATTCATCTGAACAGGGCAAAGATTATACCCTGTGGTTGATGATTTTGACAGCTGCATTTAAGCTGTATATACATGTTCTGTGCGTTTTTAATTGCATGCATTAAGAAATCAAGCTTGCAGTTAAAAATGTAAAAAATAAAATCATCGGCACTCATTTTATATAAATCGTTTCTTCTCATCCTGGTCCTCATTTTCCATCTCCTTCTCACATGGCCTCTACTCTTTTCTCATAATGGGTGACCGCCCGCCGAGAGCTAGACACAAATCAGTTCCATCACTCCTGCAGTGATCCATGTAAACTGCATTCAAAACCAAATAATACATTCAAAAATAGGAACTGCCACGGTCTTTAGAGCATCAGGGAAATGGTCTTACTACTTCTCCAAGGATGTACCGTCTTACTATTTCTCCACGGAGGTTCTCTAGATTTTTAATTCTGTGAGCCAAAACAACACATAATGTGCGAACCTGTGTTTAATCAGTAGCTATAATTCCTTTCTTGTTTTCTTCATTTTTAGCCTGTGATTGCAGCTAACAAGGAGAATGCTACCAGTCCCATCCATGCCATCCCAACAGAGCAAGAGCTGCAAGTGATTACTCCGGACTCTATACAGAATCTGCCAGACATTTCAGGGAGGACAGTTTCTGACCAGGACATTTGGGAGAGACAGTTACTGCATCAAGTAAACGAGGCATTTCTTAACAACCAAAACCAGAACAGAAAAGATGCTGACATCTTTCAACCGCTGCGAGAGCAAGCTCTTAAAGGTACATAGATATTATGTTTATTACATATTGGGTTGAATAGTACTTGCCTGAAGCAAGTTAAAGAATTCAAATATCTTGGAAGTATATATTTTTGGAGGATGGGAGCATTGTGATGAGGTGATTTGCATGGTCTCCACGTGTACATTGTGGCAAGCAGAAAGACCGTGCTACAAGTGACGGCACAAGCTACTTGTGGCTAGTCGAGTGAGCAAGGGGAAGCCTGAGCTGGACTCGTGGTCAGTTGGTTACCAGAAGTCGTAGAAGACGGTTGAGTTAATAGAAGATGTAGTTCATAGGTCGTGTAAATCATCAGTGTTTGAATATGTCACAAGCCATGGAAATGTGAATAATCGTTGGAGCATGTTGAATAAATGCAACAGAATAAACTGACAGCATGTACAAGGAAGCTGAGTGGCATTTGTGTTATCAGTCCTAGAGCTCGCCCGAAGGAAATTGAAACACCACATGGACCACAGATCGGGAAATAGATACAAGATGCCAATGAGCCAGTGCATCTATATACCAACTGACACTATTATTAAGACATCCAAACATGAGCACCAAGAAATGGATTATAAACAGCATATTCATACCAAGACTGTGCTACCAGTGCCCGACTTGGACATTATCAAAGGCTAACTAACCTACATAAAATTACCACTTGTGAAATAAGATGCATGAGAAAAGACAAAGTTAAAAATTATATGATCAGACAAATTCATTGAGAAACAGAAGATCAAAGGGTTTGATCATTTAATAAGAATGTAGTGAGAACAACTACCAGTGCAGGCACTAAACATGAAAAAATCTGAAGTATTGGTACTTTTCCTTGACACTGGACAAGGTCATCAAGAGTTTACTTTCACTGCTTCTCTTTTCATAAATCTTTCTTGTTACTTGTTATCAGTATCAAAATCCCAGCACATCAGTTAGAAATATTCCTGCTCCGTCCTCAAATGCAGCAGCCCCTTCAGTGTCTTCATGCCCACTGAACCTAGCAGGAGTTGATTGGAATGACTCCTCTCTTTGCTCAACTGGTGGAGATTGACAGGTGGAGGCAGATAGACTGCTGGTTCTGCACCACTTGGTAAGGAACTGATGACAAGCTGGATGTTGCGGGGGCCCTTTGGGAGCGAGTGAACAGTGCCAAGGCACAGATAGATCATCCTGCAAGGAATTGCAGGGGGATCTGGCCGATGCTCGACACTCAGGGAAAAGGCGAGATGGATATGCAATCAGACCGATACTGGTACCATCGGAATTTTAACTCTTCGCTTGCTGCTGAAGATGGTGATGGGGCGCTTGTGGGGGTGTCTGAGTACTGTGATGTTGATTCTTAATTCAACATTCAACATTTGCTCCACTTTCAGTTCCTTCATGCTTGTCTTCATTTATACCCATTTCTAACAGTCAGTTTATTGTCTCCCGACTCCTTTTCTAAATGTCTCTGAAGCTCTGCACATTCAGTAAAACGGTCCTGTCCACACTTCTTCCTCCACTAAATCCTGCAGACATGGCCAGTCTGTCGGCTGTTTAATTTTTCTTCACCCCGGTGTTTCCTGGTATAAGCGAGACTTCTGGATGCTGTTAACCCATTGGATCAGAGTCTACAAGAGCTTCTTAAGCGTGCTCATCGAGTCTGTCATTAACAGTATGTGAGCAGCTATCTGTCCCACCAGCACGCAGGTGCACCTGTGATAGCTTTTATCTCCACCGCCATATTAGAAGTCTATATTAATCTTTCTGGCCATCACATTAGAAGTCTATATTAATCTTTCTGGCCATCACATTAGAAGTCTATATTAATCTTTCTGGCCATCACATTAGAAGTCTATATTAATCTTTCTGGTAGTCACATTAGAAGTCTATATTAATCTTTCTGGCCATCACATTAGAAGTCTATATTAATCTTTCTGGCCATCACATTGGAAGTCTATATTAATGTTTCTGGTAGTCACAAGCTTTTCCAGCTTCAGTCATTTCTAACTGTGACAAAAAAATTACCACTACCTTTTTCTGGTATTTCTCATAAGTCCTTCTTGTGCCTTAGCTCCTTTCAAAATGTTTAGATCACCTTTCATAAATGGCTACCTACATTGTATTAATGTTACCTGGTTATATTTTAAAGAAAGCACATGGGGTTGGAGAGCTGGCTAGGGAAAGGGATACTTTCAGGCGTGCCGTGAAGAGAGCGACGTTCGGTAAAGGACTTGCTGATTGATGATGATGTTATATTATACAGTTTCCCTGGACTAAACAAAATCCTTGAAACAAAAGATCAGCATTAATATTTTGGTTGTCCACTGCATTTCAGGCATTCTTCTGTAGAACCACATTTCTCTCCTTTGTTGTCTTTATTATCAATTTTTTATCAACTCCCCCCCCCTCCCCCCACACCCTTTCCACATGCTTTCTTTACTGGCTAGCATAAAACTATTTTTATTGTCCACAAAGATCAGGCAAGTCAAACTGGCAGCCCTTTGCAAGCACACCTGCAGCCCTCAAACATATTATTCTGCAATAATTTTTATTAAATGACTCAAATTAGTTGTTGTGTGCTGCCTTCATAACAACAAAATTTGACCCGTATGGCTCTCAGGGGGACCTCAGTTTGGCATGCCTGCCCAAGACAACACAGTGCCTCACTATATTTGTCCATGCACCTACACACATGCCCAACATAACTAATTATAACATAATTATTCCACAGAACGTACATCAGAGTCACCAACTCAGAACAACAAATTTTTAGCACCTTCGGACAACCAACTACAACAATCTAGACAGCCACTTTCGCCCACGAGTATACCCCAGTTTTATTTTCCATCTGGCAAGCCAGATATGGGTTCAGACATTGAGTACGTCCTACAGAATGTTGCACAGACATTCAATGAGTTGGAAGGAGGCAGGGCATACAAAGAACACATGGGCAGTATTACAAAGGTGAGTTAAGAATTTCAGTGCTATTGATTTTCGCTGGCTTGAGAATCAGCTGTACACACATTGTAACTGACTCACAGAGGAGGTTGAGAAAGGTGCAGAGTGGCGAGCATTGTTTCAGAGGTCCAATGTAGTTAGCGTCCTTTGGATATTTGCTCTGGGTCATGTTGGCATGTTGAGAAACTAGCAGGCAGATAGACTGGCCAGTTCTGCACCACTTGGTGGTGAATTGATGTATGACAAGCTAGATGTTGTGAGGCCCTTTGAGAGTGAGTCAACAGTATGGAGACACAGACAGATCACTACGATCTGAGGAGAATGGCGCTGCGAGGAGTTACTATGGGATCTGGCGATCAACACTCAATAGAAAGGTGAGACCGATATACAATCATACAGTTGCTGGTAACATCAGAAATGGAACTCTTCGCTTGTTGTTGAAGATGAAGACGGGCGCTTTTGGGGATGTCCCAAATGCTATAATGTCAATTCCTTGTTGACATTCTGCTTCTTACACCCTAAGTCAGTATTCTGAGGGGGAAATTTGGTTGTTGAAGAAAAAAAAGCAGGAGAGGGGGTGCATGAGCATCACTTACAATATGTTTGTTGCGTATCTTTTACAGGACGTTGCAGAACCAACCCCAACAGCCCCTATCTGTTGTGTGGTTTTTCTAGGCAAATTTATGTCCAGTATTTTGCCATTGCTTTCTGGACGGTCAGCTTTCTTGATACCACTGTCAAAACCAATGCAAGGCGCATGGCCCGCAGACAGGATTAGACCCGGCATCCTGGCATTACGAAGCGTTCCCATTGACTTAGCCACAGAGCTGACATCACTTACAATAGTAAAATAAATAAAGGTCCCTTTTCCACATATTAGGAATATAGGGCTAGACCTATATTTTTATAGACCAATCGGCACTTGGTGAATGATGTGGTCAGCATCATGCCAGCCTCCTTTACTTCCTAAGACTGTACCTGGTACCCTGCTGGGTTGACTTGGGAGCCAAGGTCTTTTCTTTTTTTTAAAGTCCGGTCACAGTGAGATACCGAACCCATGACCTTCCAATCCCCAGGCAAGCATCCAGCCTTTAGACCCCGGCAGCTCCCATCACTTACAATAGAGATTGAAAAGAAGGTTTGTTGTTGTTATTGCTGCTGTTTTTATTTTTCTGCAGCCTGCTCATCCTCCTAAATTCCTAGGTAGACAAGCTGATAAGGATAGAAAAAGATATATGGGGGAAAATTTAATAAGTAAAAATATAAGTATCAACTTCATAAAAATGTTACTTTAAAAAAAAAAGATTTAGAGGTTCATAATCACCTGAGTCAAGCCTAGGCATCTAAGGACAACAACAACAAAAATTAGGCAGTTGGGCAAATCCCAGATAGCTTGTTCAACATTCTTGGAAGTTACAATTAAAAGTAACAGACCATCTTCCACGCCTTCAGACGTATAAGGCACATTGGGCTAGACCTTTCTTTTCATTCTTTTTTTTTTTTATACAGATCGGCACTCTGTGGAGGATTTGGTCAGCATCACACAGCCACCTTTACTTCCCAGGACTTCACCTGGTACCTATTTAAGGCTGGATCAACATAAGAACCAAAATCATTTAAAAAAAAAAAAGTCAGGCTCCATCAGGATCCGAACCCACTACAGAAGTTATAATTAGGGTACATTTAACTGCTACACCATGTGCTAGCCTGGTATCCCCTGTAGTCCTATGCAAGTAACAAGATGAAGGGCGAATTATGCTTATTAGTAAATAACATAAATACCACAACAATGAAAAAGGTGAGTAAAAAAAAGAATAGGAGAAAGAAACAGTACAATTGAGAAAACAGCAACTGTGAAACTGAAAATTTCCCATGTGGGTTCTGGGGCCCTATTTGAAAGGAGGGTGGGGGGCGAGAATGGTCCCACTGTCTGCATGCTCCCCTCCTAACAGTCATGTCATTTTTAAAAAAAGGGACTAATAAGGAGTTTCCTTTAAAGTTGGAGTGCATTTGCCTGAAAGGTAAGGAAACAGAAGTTTGCATACAGACAAGACAAATCTGTAAAACAGGTGTGCACATAAAACTCAAGTTCTGAAACTAGTCTGAAGTCCAGAAGTGGATGAACAACCAGATCTTACCACCAGAGTTTACAGCCAGTGCATGCTACGACGAAGAAGAAACCAGATGTGCTGCATAAAGATTCAACACAAAACCACTCAACATGATTTATTTTAAGCTGACATAACTAATTTAATTATATTCTCCTGCATATTTTCCTAGGCATGTGGATTTCCTTTGTACTGGAAAATTTTATTGTTTCGGGCAGCAGGCGGGGCAACTGAGGGATTTATAACTTACCAAGGCTTGTCTGTTCTTTTGCGAAAGTAAGTCTCAAGATGTATATTTACAATTATTTTTAACTAAAGCTCTCTTATTAGTTCATTATCATCATAAAACAGATCCTTTGCAGAACGTAGCTGTCATCATGGTCCTCCTCAAAATAACCTTGTCTCTCACAGACTCTTCCACTTCATGCACTTTCCTACCTATGGTGTCGCTTATACAATGTGCCCATCTTTGTGCTAGTCATCCCCTGTCCCTTTTTGCTGGTACCATGCCATCTGCTATTATTATTTCCAATCCATTTTCATATGGCTAAAATAAATCAGTTTTGGAGACAAGATTCTGTTTACTAGCCAATCTTCCTTGATGTTTAGATCTTTTAGGATGTCAGTATTTCTTTTCTTCTTGGTCTTGTTCTTGGTATTCTGGGAATCTTCCTATAGCATTTGAGCTCAAAAGCCCGTATTATCTTCTTTAATGACTGTGATATAGTTCATGACTCACATCCATATGTTGCTACAGAAAAATGCATGCTCTTAAAATATTGACTTTTATTTCTATGGTGGTGCTTAACCATAGACTTTTAATGCTTTCTAGTGACTATTTTATGCATGCCTACTTTTTCTTCTACTTCTTCTTCCCATCCTCTTTTTCCTCATCACCATCTTCCCCTACTCTTTCTTTCTCTTCTACTTCTTCTTCCCATCCTCCTTTTCCTCATCACCATCTTCCCCTACTCTTTCTTTCTCTTCTACTTCTTCTTCCCATCCTCCTTTTCCTCATCACCATCTTCCCCTACTCTTTCTTTCTCTTCTACTTCTTCTTCCCTTCCTCCTTTTCCTCATCACCATCTTCCCCTACTCTTTCTTTCTCTTCTACTTCTTCTTCCCATCCTCCTTTTCCTCATCACCATCTTCCCCTACTCTTTCTTTCTCTTCTACTTCTTCTTCCCATCCTCCTTTTCCTTATCACCATCTTCCCCTGCTCTTTCTTTTTCTTCTACTTCTTCTTCCCATCCTCCTTTTCCTCGTCACCATCTTCCCCTGACTCATTCTTTTTCTTCTACTTCTTCTTCTCCTTATCCTTTTCCTCATCACCATCTTCCCCTGACCCTTTCTTTTTCTTCTCATTTTTTTTTTGCTCCCTCCTTTTCCTTGTCCTCCTCCTTCTTCTCTTTCTGATTCAGATGTTTTTCCATAGTAGGGTGTTAAAATGTCTGATATATTCTTTTTCTGATTCAGATGTTTTTCCATGTTAGGGTGTTAAATGAATGAAATCTTCTCTCTTGGTCTCCTTGTCTCTCATCAATTTTCCTGTTGTCTTGACGTACTCAGTTCTTTTCCTTCTCAGGACTTGCACCAAGAATCTGTAATGCTACCTTCTAATGCAGGTAATCGTTCTTTTGACCATTTTGTTTTTCCTAGACATAACTATTTCATTCTTTATCTATCCATGGTGTTCTCATCATTCTTCTGTAGAACCACGTCTCTGCAGGTTCAGATTTGTCAATATTGTACTGATTGTCCATAATTCTCTTCCATACAGCAGGATTAGCATTATGTAAGTAAAATAAAGTAAAGAAGCCTTTTCATGCCAGTGGTGCATCAGTTAAATGATGTTACTGATATTTGAATACATCACTTGGTACTCAATGGGTTATGTGGTCAACATCACATGGCCATCTGTACCTCTTATAACATTACCTGATTACCTGGTACCCATTTTAGGCTGAGTCAACTTGGGAGCTAAGGTCAGTTTTGAAAACCCAAAAAAATCCTCCACGATGCAGATTGAACCTAACACCTTCAGGTCAACAAGTGAACATCTAGTCACTATGCTGCCTTGATTGATTAATGATCAACCCCATGAGGACATCACACTGAGCGATAAACATCTGGTGACATGAAGTGCCACCATTCAGATGAGGATCACCAGGAGACAGAAACCCTGTTCAACCATTAGGTTATATAAGGGCTCCCGACAACAGCTAAAGTGGGGTTTTAAAAAAATTGCATTTAATATTGGGAGGGCTTAAAGGCATAATATGCTGCCATGACTCTCTTGGCTTTAAAAAATTCTCTTTCTCACCTCAGTTTACTAAGATATATTTCGTAGAATGTTTTTCATTTATGAAATGCCACAGACCAACATTTTTTGGAAACTGACAGCCCACCTACAGCGAATGGGTCTTGCTGACTCTGCTGCATGTGGTTTTTTTGCTCTCTCAATAAAGCAAACTCGAAAACCCAGAATAAACTATGGGGTACTGGTAAAGACCTGAAGCACACCGTTCTGCTTATGACTCATACTAGAAAAGACACAAGCAAACATTGATCCTGAAGAAGAAGAACTTACAGTTTTCTGCATTTAACCTTTTTAACACATCTTCTATCGACTGTTTTTATAGTACCAAATATTTAAAGATATTTACTGTCCTCATACTAGTCTCTTTCACTGTGACATAATATTTTGAAGCTGCCTGCAATATTTGTGAGATGATTCTTTACATCCTCAAGTGGCTCATGGTATAGACAGAATTAATTTTTAAATAACTGTTGGCACTATTTTGTTTTAATGGCAAAACGGTGAAAACAACTTTCTGGTAATGCAGATTGTCTGTAGTTAATGAAAATGGTGTCTGTAGTGGCTAATATCACTACATTACATTATGAAAGGAAGAAGAATAATGCATTTAATCATGAACAATACTGAAGGTGACAGTACCTGTATACTGTATAAATAATAATTTAAACTGAACAGTGGATCTTATTCATTGTTGCTACAACTCCGTCCACTGGCATATTTTAACTAAAAATAACTAAATCAGCTGATCCAGAAATACAAACAATTATAACTAGAAAGCTCAATGGAGGGAGTGGTTGAGGCATGCACAAATACAACCAAACATTTCTACAAAAATTTATCAGCAGAGTACTAAATGCAACACAGATTTTGTCTGCTGCTTCCATTCTGTTCAGTGGAGGTAAGCAAAACTGAGGTATGAGTGTAAAGGGTGAAAACATGGTGTCATTCTAACATGTGTGTGACAGTCTCATTCTCACAACCTTTCTTCACAGATTGCATCAATCTTGTCATGACGACGCCTCCAGATTTACAAAGTTCACTGCCAAACCTGGCTCCAGTGTGCTGGTGTTCGAGGACTTTGAACCCCTAATTCAGGTAACCCAGCAGAACCATCTGCTGTTTTATCTGTGTTTCTGTTGGCTTGTGTGCTGAGTTTACCTTGCTGTTTATAGTGCAACCTTTTTATACTGAGGTAAATTATTCGGTCTGCCTGAATCCATATACTGAGACTTGCTTTGGCCTTCTTTTTCTTCGACTTCTTCTTCCCATCCTCCTTTTCGTCATCACCATCTTTCCCTGACACTTTCTTTTTTTTTTTTTCTTCCCATCCTTCTTTTTGTCGTCACCATCTTCCCCTAACTATTATTTTGTTGTGTGTGCTTGTTAGGTGCGATAAACTAATTATTGAAATTGTATAAAGAATAAAAAGCATAATATTATGGTAAAAAAGGCACTTGAGAAAATTCTCCTCCTCACTTCCTGTCTTCTTCTTCTTCTTCTTCCTTTTCCTATTATTCTTTTACTTCTTCTTCTGCTTTTTGTTCTGCTCCTCCTGCTATTGTCCTTCTTATTTTCTATCACTTATCTCCTGATGAACACAGATATGCTAACCATCCTCATTTACTTGAACATGCTGTAAATTTTGTATTCTCTACAGACCTTCCTGCAGGAGTTTCCCCAAGTTTGAAAAAGGCCCTAAAACCATTATAATACTCTTATTCTTCAGAATTAGCCTACTACCCTGTAAATTGCTAGGGCATGTCTGAGAGCATGAGTGTGGCATGCAGTCCTAATTGTAGATAATTGACCAACTCTAGGATAGTAGAAAATAAAATGTGGACAACATGAAGAAATCTGCAGGATGTGGTAAATGATAGGATTTTTCATTAGTTGGTTGCAGTTCTATGCTCATTTGCCCAACCTAAAATTGGTAACTGAAAATATACTGGGAAGTAAAGGCTGCTGGTGAGATGTTGACCATATAATTCATCAAGTGCCACTAGTTCTATAAGTGTCAAGATGAAGTATAAACAGTAGGAAGAAGAGTTCCCATATTATGTTCTCAGTATACAATGTCAAATTTGACCAATAAGCGTATTGTGAGTTTCATGATTGGTACTTAAAGGGTTAATACAAACATCATCAATGTTATTTTATGTTTAGTGGCTTGTGAAAACCACCTTTCATCATCTTCTTCTTCTTCTTCATCAGCATTCCGAGCCCTTGAGAATCTCTACTGCAGATATCACACCATTCATCTCTCTGGTTGGCTTTCTCCTTCCAGTTGGTTACATCTAGTGTTTGCAGGTCTGTTTGGACATTATCTCTCCATTTTCTTCTTGGTCTGCCTCATGATCTATGATCATTCAACTTCCTTGTGTATACAGTTTTTGCTTCTCTGTCTTCTGAAATTCTTTCAATATGGCTCAACAATTTCAGTCTATTAGCTCTCATGATGCCAGTGATCAGTGGTGATTTAAACAAATTATGAATTTCATTATTGCTTCTCACTCTCCATTCCACCTTTCATCATGATTTATTTTATTTAGAAAAATACTTCTTCCTGTGACATATTGATTCAGTTGAAATATCTTTGAATAATTATCCATTTTTGTCATTCATTTTCCCAAGCCCATGTATCCCTTGTGATCACCTCATAACATGCTTATCCAATCCTACCTCTATACACACACCACTTATGGACATCTCAGTATTACCAGTTAGACTGATTTCCACACATCCACACCGTTACCTGTTTTGTAATGTGTTGTTATTTTCACTGTCTTATTCTGCATTTGCCATTTTCTTCTTTTTCTTCTTCTTCTTCTTCTTGTTCACGGCGGAAAGTCCTGGTTGTTCGTCCATTTGGACTTTTACCTGGACCTGAGTTTTGGGTGTACGTCTGTTTTACTGGCTTAATTGTTTGCAGTTCTTGTTCCCTGCCTCACCAGCAGATGTACTCTGACTTCGAGGGAAGACATCAAGCCTATCTCTAGGATGACTGTGGCCATTGTTTTGTGTGGGACGAGATGTTGCCTCATTCGTGTGGTGTCCTCTTTGTCGCTTTATCTCCAGGTGTTGCCCCCGAAGAACCCCCTTTAGGGCAACCCTATGTAGAATGGTCAGCCCTCAAGATTTGCCATTTAAAAAGAGGTTGGTATGTTGTGTTATGGTTCACATCTAGGCTACTGTATTGGCATCTTCAACCCAACAATTTCGGCAAACCCTTGATTCAACGCTTGTTATGACCTGCTTCTTTAGGGAGGCAGTGGGTCTATCATTGTTTTCCTTCAGAATGAGCTCCTAGAACCTGCAGGGGAATGAATTATTAATATTATCTTCTTCATTATAATCATTATCATTATCATCATCATTATTATCATTTGTCTTTCTAAACAAAAGTATAATTGTTGATTCTCAGGATGTAATAATAACGCATCCAGGACTGACATTTTTGCAAGATGCCCCAGAATTCCATTCTAGATATGTTACTACGGTTAGTACAATTGACAGACATTTTGTGTGTGTGTGTGTGTTTTTTTCAAGTCTTATTATCTGTTTTACATAGAACTTGTCTTGTTTTTATTTCAGCGAATCTTGGAATGTCAGTGAACAAATTAAGAGGAATTTAGAAGAGATGGGATTTCTGAGATAAATGTTACAAATACCTTGGATGGCCAGAGTAACTAACAACAATTGTTTGAAAGAAGTTAAAGAAAGTAGATCTCTATATACAACAAACAGAAGGAGACAAATACTGTTCTTTGGCCACATAATGAGAAGAGAGGCATAGGAAAACATCATGACAAATGGAAAGATCAGTGGAAAGAGGGGTAGAGACAGACAAAGAGAGAATGAGCTTAAGCGATGGCATGGAGGAATATCATCAAGAGAGCTGTTCCAGACAACTAGGGATCATGATCTGTGGAGATGCATGAGCGCCTATGCCAGTTGGCAGGGCACATGATGATGATGATGATTATCTGTGTGGTAATTAAGTATTAGAACATGCTTCGTAACTCAGATGCGGGCAGTTTTGCAGCAGAGTGCCTTACATTAGTTTCAGCATCGGTATCAAGAGCTGATTGTTTCAAGAGCAATAGAAAACTACTGAATGTAAAAAATGCCTTGTGAAATCATAAACAATTAAAATGCTGAGGGGTTGGTGCTGCAGAATGTCTTGTAAAAGGCACGCAAACTTTTTTTGTTTTTTAATAATTTGCTGTGTCTTACCAGCTGCATTACTATAAAGTTCACATCAGTATGTTAGGTAACAAAAAAAATAAAAACTCACAGAGCATGTTGAGACAGGTAGAGACAGGCATGCTCTATGCAGAGTGGCAAGCATCACCTCAGAGGTCCTGGGTAATTAGTGTCCTTTGGATTTTACCTCTGGGTCATGCTTGCATGTTGAGAAACTAGCAGGCAGATAGACTGGCTGGCTCTGTACCACTTGGTGGTGAATTGATGTATGACAAGCTAGATGTTGTGAGGGAGCGAGTGAACAGTGTTTAGGCACAAAAAAGATCATTACAGTCTGAGGCGCTGCAAGAAGTTACCAGGGGATCTGACCGACGCTCAACACTCAAGGGAAAGGCGAGATGGATATACAATCAGACAGTCACTGTTGCCATTAGAATTGGAGCTCTTTGCTTGCTGCTGAAGATAGGGATGAAGCACTTATGAAAGTGTCCTGAGTGCTGTGATGTCAATTGTTAATTCAACGCTTTGTTGCTCCGTACATTTAACCATGCTGTTCTTCTTCTTCTTCTTCTCTTCCACCATTTACTTCAGCGAGGTGTTGAAGGGAGATGTAAGGATCGTTTGTGCACTTTTTTTAATGCATTGTACAAGCTGGTGTTCATCTATGTTAGGTTGCTCCTGATGGTATCGCTCCATCTCTTTTATGGTCTTCCCCTTGCTCTGTGTTCATTATATTTCTTCAGCATGGCTCTCTGTGGCCATTGTTCCCAGGACATTCTGGTCAGGTGGCTAAACCATCTCATCTTTTGTTTTTAATGAACTGTATGACTGGTTTCAGTCCTAGTCTTCTTCTAATGTCTTCATTCCTGATTTTATCTCTTCTTGTCACACCGCAGTTCTCCTAAGAATTTAATCTCTGTTGTCACGATCTTCCACTCATTAGTTGTTGTAAGGGTCCATGTTTGGCACTGGTAGCAAAATTCGGCCAAAAAACTGTTTATATGAGATATTGCTTTGGTTGACATAGGTATCTTTCTATGCGTCAGGAGCGGTGTTAATTGTCCCATAACCTGATTTACTTTTGCACATTGTATGTTGATTTCTCTATTCATTCTTCCATCTGCGGTAAAAAATGACTTTAGATGTTTAAAACCCTGCAGTAGACAATAAACTATGTAATATATCATTTGTGAACTCACAATTTAAATTCACAACAGGAAAAAGTTGTTTGGAAACATGGAAGTTCATATTAGAGGCAACATTGCAGATATAGATAATCTCTTTCAAGCAACAACAAAAAAGAACAAGAATTGTTTTGAACAGGCAACCTAGGCAATAAATTCTTGTTACTGTTGTTGTTCTTCTTTTTCTTCTTCTTCTCCTCCTCCAATGATTCTTCTTCTCCTCCTTTTTCTTCTTGTTCTTCTGTTTCTTCTTCTTTGCCTTCATATTCACTGGCTGTAACTCCAGCAAAAAATCCTAGTTGTTCTGGACTTTGGTCTTCTTCCAGGACTAGGGTGTTTTGTGCACAACTGTTTTACAGATATATCTTATAAGTATGCAGAATGTTGGTCTCTTACCTCTCAAGCAGATGCACTCTGACTTTGAAGGAAATGTCGAGTCTATGTTGGCCAGGCCCTCAGTTGGGAAACTGTTGCCTTGATAACGATGGAAAGATGTAGGTAAGTCTCGACCAATACGAGTCCGGGTATACCATCACATGTGGTTCAGCTCCTCTGCATTCAAATAAACTGTTCAGTCCATTGTTTTGGTCTTCGTTACTAAAACTTACTTACTTACTTACTTAGTCACTCCTCTTCTACCTTGGGGTGTAGAGGTTTGCCAGAGAGATCGCCAGACGTCTCTATCAGCAGTTTTCTTTCTGGCTTTGTTCCATTCCAGTCCTCTGTCAGTCAGGGACTGTCGGATGTTGTCTTCCCAGCGCACCCTGGGTCGTCCCGGAGGTCTGGTTCCCTGGTTCTTAGCCTCCCATGCTTGCCATGGTGGCCGATTTTCTCCCATTCTGCACACATGTCCAAACCATCGTAACTGTGACTGATCCACTCGGGTTAGTAAGGGCTGGGTATCAAGATCTTGACGTATTGTCTGATTGCGGACTTTGTCCCTTCTTGTCACTTGGACCACCTTTCTCAGGTATCTCATTTCCGAGGCCTGCAGCTGGCTTCTGTGAGCTGTTGTCATTGCCCATGACTCACACCCATAGGTCAGGACTGGTACATAGGTAGAGCGGTAAACAGCCATTTTCGTCCTCTTGCCAATTTCTCTTTTGCTAAGAAACCCTTGGTTTATGGCCTGGAAGAGTCTCCCAGCAGCTGCTTTTCGTGTAGCCAGCTCAGTCTTAATGCCTCCATTTTGGTCTAATACAACTCCAAGGTATTTGAACTGGTTAACCTGCTCCAACGCATACTGACCCATCATGATCTGGTGTTTCTTCTCCTCTCTTGAGATCACCATGGTTTTAGTTTTGGAGACACTGATGGTCATCCCTTTCTTTTCAAGCTCTTCCTTCCAGACAAGTAAGTTGGACTGAAGGTGTGCCTCTGATTTAGCTATCAGGGCCACATCGTCTGCAAAAGCCAGCTCTGATATACAGATTGGTCTCATCTTCCAGTACCCTACAGAGTACTTCTTTGTCTTCTCCTTACAGGTCTTGATGACATCATCCATCATAAGAATGAAGAGGTAAGGTGAGAGAATATCACCTTGTCTAACACCGCTGGTGGTCTTAAATTCTTCTGACTTTTGGTCTGCTGTTCTTACATAATTTCTGCGCTTTTTGTAGAAACTCTGTATTGCACTGATCAGGGGTGCTGGGATGTTTTTCCCTGCCAAGCAGTCCCAGAGCTTGTTCCAGGGTACCTTGTCAAATGCCTTTTCCAGATCCAAAAAACATAAGTGAATCTCACTCTTATATTCCAGGGCTTTTTCACTCATCTGTCTCAGTGTGAAGATAAGGTCTTGAGTACTTCGGTTTGCTCTGAAGCCGCACTGGGCCTCGTCCAGCTGTGGCTCTACCAGACTTCTAAGTTTCTGCTCAAGAATTCTAGAGTAACTTTTACCGGGAATGCTGAGGAGGGATATGCCTCTGTTGTTTTCACATTGTCTGTTATCACCTTTTTTAAATATAGGTATAATGATGGCAATCTCCCAATCTTTTGGTATATTTTGCTTCACCAGGCTGCCTGGAGAACCTTCAGTAGAAGGTGCTCACCTTCGACTCCCATATATTTGACCATCTCTGGTGTTATACCATCATGACCTGCTGCTTTTCCCAGCTTAATCTTCTCAATAGCTGCCTTCAATTCTTCCATCCTGATGTTATCTTCCCCATGATTGAATTCCTTCTCAGCAGTGAGGTCCATTATTTCTGGGTCATGACTTCCCTCAGCGCTGAGGAGCTCTGAGAAGTATTCTTTCCATCTGCCCATGATATCATTTGTAGAAGTAAGCAGAGCCCCTTCCTTGTCTTTTATGAATTTAAGTGGGCACTCTTTCTCCTTCCTCATGTTTTTAAGGGTCTTGTAGAACAGTTTTTGGTTTTCTCTTGCATTCTTTTCCAACTTTTCTCCAAACTCTTCCCATGATTTCTGTTTTGCTTTAAGCACAATATTTTTGGTCTCTGTTCTGAGTGCCACATATTGTTTATATTTTTCTATTTCTTCAGCTGTGTTCCTGGCTGCCAGGTATTGCTTCCATGCCCTTTTCTTTTCTCCTATTTTCAATTTGACTTCTTCTGTCCACCAAGGTGTCCTGTGTCCCCGCCTTCCACTTGGGACTTCACCACATGCTTCTACTGCAGCTGCTGTGAGGATATTCTTGAATCCGCACCAGAGAGTTTCAGTGTCCTCTGATGATTCTTCTTCAGTTCCTATTGCTTTCACTATAAGCTCCTGATATCTAGCCTTAATATCTGGCTCTCTTAGCTTGTATGCTTTAATCCTCATCCCTTCTTGGTTGCTTGGTTTCTTGCATAGTTGTCGGTGTTGCCTTGTTGGAGCAGTTCTTTCAGTTGTTCTCTTTATTGTGACCAGATAGTGGTCACTTCCAATCTCTGGTCCTGTCATGACTCTGGCATCTCTCACAAACTTGAATGAACTTTTCCTAACTATGGCGTAGTCAATGATGGATTTTTCATTCTTTGAAGGTTCACATCTTGTGTATGCATGTATACGCTTGTGGGGGAATTTTGTGTTTGTAATGACAAGGTTCTGTTTCCTGCAGAATCTGAGAAGTCGCTTGCCATTATCATTCAAAACATCTTCACCATATCTCCCGATCACTCCACCCCATCTAGAGTGATCATTTCCTACTCTGGCATTTAGATCTCCTAGGAGGATAATTTCATCGTGACAGTCATCTATGGTCTTTTGGAGCAGTTCAAAGAATTCTTCTTTAACATCTACTCGCTCATCTTCATTTGGCCCGTACACAATGACAAAATTGACAATTTTATCTTCTTCTTTCAGATCTAACACCATTATTCGCTCTGAGATGAATTTCCATCCCTTGATGTTACTAACTTGATTCCTGGCCACAATACAGCCAACACCTCCCTTGGCTCTCTCCGTCATAGGGACACCACTGTAGAGCAGCATACTTCCATCGTGATCTGTGATTCCTTGCCCCTTTTTCTTGGTTTCAGTCAGAGCCAAGACTCCTAATTTTGCTTTCCTCATCTCCCCTACTAACTCGTTTTCCTTTCCGTTAATGCCTCTTATATTCCATGTTCCATAAATCGTAGTCAGTAAGCCATGCCAGTTCGTCGCCGTTAAGATCCGTCCGGTTTTCTCTCTGTAATTACTTGTAATCGTGGTTTAAGGCAAACAGGTGATTGGCCTGTTGTGCCTTTGCTTGGTGGAGGGGCTGCCTCCTTGCGGCCTCCATGCAGGCCGTCTGGCTGATTCACGGTTACCCACTACTTCCGGAGACACATGAAGCACTCAGGTTCAGCCAGACCCTCCTCCTTTTACAGCCGGGCTTGGGACCAGTCTTAGCGAAGTTCGTTACTAAAAATGAGACAAAATGGTGAGTGGCCTGCCTGTTGGCACAGAACGTGGGGTGCCTTATGTGAATAATCATGTATGCAGCTGCTGATCTGTTGTAACCGCATCTTCCATCAGTGATAAACTGTATTTCTACTGCCTGTTTTGCCACTACTGATGTCTGTCTTATGGATTTATTGCATGTGTATGCTATTGGATTTGTTGAGACTGCAGTTTGTGTCAATTTTTCCCACAAGGGACAGTGATGGACATTCTGTGTGGTTTGACTGACTGACTGACTTTCTACCCCACCAGGACATCACACAAGCGATAAACACCCAATGACACAAAGGGGCACCATGTGGATGAGGATCACCATGGAGAGGTCCCAGAAACCGCGTTCAGACAATTGGCCATATTTATGGCCTGCCTATATTGTGGCCCCTGGCAAAAGCCAGTTTGGGGCTTCAAATAACAAAAAAAAAAGGACAAAACATAGAATGAGTAGTCATGGGTGGTTTTTGCCTGCACAGGAATGGAGCAACTATGGAGGGACTAGTTTGTTATGAAGATGAACTGTGAATACCTGATTACCAAAACTGAAATGGCCCTAAATATGCTTATACATTTATGTTGTACTGAAACTGAAATGGCCCTAAATGTGCTTATACATTATGTTGTCTTTTCCTAGGTTATTTCTAGAATTATGTTTTGTGTCAATCGGTCATGGACTGGAAGGATTACATTGCCAGAACTACGGAAATCAAATTTTCTGCAGGTAATATCTTCCCTTTGTCTTTGCTGTTTATGTTCCTTTATGCTGTTTTTTTTTTTAATTGTTATTGTTTTAATATTCTTTCATTTATTTACTTTTCAGTATCTTTCTTTCTTTCTTTCTTTCTTTCTATCTTTCTTTCTTTCTTTCTTTCTTTCTTTTTTCTCTTTCTTTTTCAGTCTATTTCACTATATGTCTGTCTATATTTCTTTTGGTGTCACTGTAGTATGGTAATCTCTCTATTACCCATTGTTTTTCTTTTAGTTTTTTCTTGGTTCCTGACATCCATTCCTTGTTTAGCATATGTTGCAGCCCAAAGACTGACATACAGCTATTGTTTCCCACATGTAACCCCACCAGGAAAATTGCTGAATTTGTTTAATTCACTCCCAAAGCGCAACATTGGTGATTCTGTCATACCATTTAGTCCTCTCTGTTTTGCACAGGAACCAGTAAATGAATGTCTATAGTTTATTAGTTGCTGTTTTAGTTGATCTCTTGTTTCCACTTTATACATTCATTCATTCAGTAGCATGTCCCTCGCGTAACCTCGCTGCCATAACAACCCTCCGGAAAACCTTCCTATCCTGAGCAAGATGTCCTGCGTCTGATACACCCATCTGGAGATCATCTGCCACATCCTGCACCCATCTTCTCCTTGGCCTTCCTCTTCCTCTCTTCCCAGGCATATACCCCTCCTTTATTGTTCTCTCTAGACTTCCATGACGTTTCAAGTGACTTTCATGATTGTTATGGATTCTTGGCAAAATTTGCAGAAGGTAGTACTTTTATGACATTAAAATAAGGAATGGTATGTTGAGTATTAGTTTTAATTTCCTTTTCATCATCATCATCATCATCATCCCATAACACTATGTGTTGTTGGGTCACCAGTTTTTGATGACTTTCTGATCAGCTCTCTCCAACTTTTGGCGGTCAGTTGCGATTGACTTCATGGGTGCATGCCTGAGGCCTGTCCAGTCAGTCAGGTTCTGTAACCAGGTCTTTCTTGTTCTGCCTCTTCTCCTATTTCCCTCTTTTGAGCCCTGCAGTATAGTTTTTGAGAGGCTGTTGGATCTTATAACATGTAATTTTGTACAGCCCGAGACACACCATACTGTAGACAAATTTCCTTTTACTTCCACAAATTTCCTAGTGCTATGAAAACTCCTCTTGCCTTTTGTATTGGTATTTTAATATCTCCATCAGTTCCCCCATGTCTGTCTAAATTATGGCCTGAGTATGTGTATTACTCCACATTGTGAAGTGGGATATAATGAAGAAAAATAAGATTACTGTTTGCCAGTTTTATTCTCATTGTCTTTCCCTTACAGATTTTTAGACCTAGTTGTTGTAATCTCCCATCAAGTATAGGTTAGTTAATCAAGTGTGTTTAGTTTATCTTGCATCGGATTCTATGTCTGGGATAGAAGAGAAATATCAGCAAAGTCCAGGTTAAGTCCAAGTTATTATCTTTTTTCTCACAGACTAATTGTCTCAAATTAATGTGGAGTTGTTCCCCTGTCCTCTCACATCAGCATAAAAGGTGTATACATTTACAAATATTGTTGTTGTTGTTTTTTTTTTTTTAAATGTTACCGTAAAAGTATCTTTAGTCATTATCTTATAATCAGGGCTTCTTTCTGGCAGTACCCAGTACCAACATTTTTTTAATGCATCATTTTTACAGCCATACTGTAACAGACCCTTTGGGGTGAGTGCCTGGTACTTTGTTAGAAACTTTGTGCTGAGTACCTGGCACTTTGTTAGACACTTTGTGCTGAGTATCTGGCACTTTGTTAGACACTTTGTGCTGAGTACCTGGCACTTTGTTAGACACTTTGTGCCGAGTATCTGGCACTTTGTTAGACACTTTGTGCTGAGTACCTGGCCCTTTGTTAGACTCTTTGTGCTGAGTACCTGGCACTTTGTTAGACACTTTGTACTGAGTACCTGGCACTTTGTTAGACACTTTGTGCTGAGTACGTGGCACTTTGTTAGACACTTTGTACTGAGTACCTGACACTTTGTTAGACATTTTGTCCTGAGTACCTGGCACTTTGTTAGACACTTTGTACCTGGCACTTTGTTAGTCACCTTGTGCTGAGGTCCTGGAACTTTGTTAGACACTTTGTGCTGAGTACCTTTCACTTTGTTAGACACTTTGTTCTGAGTACCTGGCACTTTGTTAGACACTTTGTCCTGAGTACCTGGCACTTTGTTAGACACTTTGTGCTGAGTAGCAGCAGCTTTACAGTAGTTTAGTTTACTGCATCTAATGTTAATTTCTTCATCCATTGTTGGATGTTATCTCCTAAAATCATCAAAATATGAAATGACAGAAGATCGGAGAGTCATTTTTGCCAATGTTGGCTTCAGACAGCTAAAGAAGTAGGAGTTTTAATTGCAATGTACATGAATTGTAGGAGTCGCAGGAGGCTTGCTGCTAACCTGAAGGTTTGAATCCACAACATGGTGAACTTTTTATAATTTTGGGGAAAGGCATCACAGAATACTACATGTGTTCTACAAACATGCAGTCTACATGCAGTAGAGAGATACCAGGTTTGACAGGTTGACATTGCAGTGAGAACCAAGCTGTGTGGATCAGTGGAAGACATGTGTCGCACCATAGAGGTCTGTCAACCAAGCTGTGTGGATCAGTCGAAGACATGAGTCACACTAAAGAGGTCTGTCACTTTCTCGTGTGTGTCAGTGAAAGACATGAGTCACACCATAGAGGTCTGTCACCTTCTCGTGTAGTTCAGTGAAAGACATGAGTTGCACTATAGAGGTCTGTTGCCTTCTCGTGTAGTTCAGTGAAAGACATGAGTTGCACTATAGAGGTCTGTCACCTTCTCATGTGTGTCAGTGAAAGACATGAGTCACACCATAAAGGTCTGTCACCTTCTCGTGTAGTTCAGTGAAAGACATGAGTTGCACTATAGAGGTCTGTCACCTTCTCGTGTAGTTCAGTGAAAGACATGAGTTGCACTATAGAGGTCTGTTGCCTTCTCGTGTAGTTCAGTGAAAGACATGAGTTGCACTATAAAGGTCTGTCACCTTCTCGTGTGTGTCAGTGAAAGACATGTCACACCATAGAGGTCTGTCACCTTCTCGTGTGGGTCAGTGAAAGACATGAGTTGCACTATAGAGGTCTGTCACCTTCTCGTGTGTGTCAGTGAAAGACATGAGTCACACCATAGAGGTCTGTCACCTTCTCGTGTAGTTCAGTGAAAGACATGAGTTGCACTATAGAGGTCTGTCACTTTCTCGTGTAGTTCAGTGAAAGACATGAGTTGCACTATAGAGGTCTGTTGCCTTCTCGTGTAGTTCAGTGAAAGACATGAGTTGCACTATAGAGGTCTGTCACCTTCTCGTGTGTGTCAGTGAAAGACATGAGTTCCACCATAGAGGTCTGTTGCCTTCTCGTATAGTTCAGTGAAAGACATGAGTCCCACCATAGAGGTCTGTCACCTTCTCCTGGAGTTCAGTGAAAGACATGAGTCCCACTATAGAGGTCTGTTGCCTGCAGGGAGAATGGAAAGAAGAAAATACCAAGAAGGTAACATCCTCTTCTTCTTGTTTACATTCACCAGCTGTAAATTCTAGCAGATATTTCTGGTCGTTCATCCACTTCATGACTGTAGTCCTGTTCCAGAAAGTGAGTGCTACCTGCACATCCATTTTGCAGATCTGACATGTGTATGCAGACTGTTGGTTCCTTGCCTCTCAGGCAGATGCACTCCATCTTTAAAGGAAGCTTCCATTAGTTGACTTACATCATAGTTTTGGGCAGGCACTGGGTCTATTCTTGTTTCCCTTACAGTGGGGCCCCAGAACCCACGTGGAAAGAGAAGATAACTGATCTTGGTTACCAGATAGTGTCCCACAAAGTAATATACTTAGTAAACTTTTGTCAGCAAAATCCACTGAAGCACTGGAAGATTAAAAAAAATATTGGTCTATGACACTGCTGTGTGCCACTAGCAAGAAAAGGGTCCTACACTATACTCATTAAAGAAAGTATATTTTATTGTTTGTTTTAATGTGATGGTGGTTGTTTCAGACTGTTGTGAGGCTGGAGCAGGAAGATGACATCAACCAGATTAAGGACTACTTTTCCTATGAGCATTTTTATGTCATCTATTGCAAGTTCTGGGAGCTGGACAAGGATCATGATCTGTTCATAGACAGAGAGGATTTGTCTCGGTACAATGACCATGGTAGGTGTGCACGGTAGCAACGTAGGGTAATATCATAGAGTAGACATGCTATGTTATTGAATGATAGCTTAATATGGCAGATGTGTTATAGTATGACAGTTTCATACGACAGACATGTTTTTATATGGCAGTATCATACGGTACATACACACTCACTTCCAGTAGACAACTCTGCATAATATCTTAACTGTTTTTTTGTGTGCTTGCTTGTTAGCATCTAAACCTTATTTTTTTCTTGCTTGTTAACATCTGAACATTTGTTTGTCCTGCTTGTTAAAATCCAAGTATTTTTGTCACTGTTAATATTTGAAAACTGTATTTCTTTGTTTACTAACATTTGAAATGTTCCTTTCCTTCCTTTTTAAAAACTGTCTCTTTCTTTTTCTTTCTCTGACAGCACTCAGTTCAAGAATTGTTGACAGAATATTTTCAGGGGCAGTCACTAGGTAAGTCCTTAGATAATGTACCGAATCTTTTTGTGTGTGGCTACCATCACATTTTGGGAAGGGGGGAGGGGGGGGGCAGGGTGGGGGGGGGGGGGGGGGGGGGGGTTGGTGTCATCATTTAACATGTTCTTTTCAAAACATTGCTCTGATCATAAACCACCAGAAAATTTTAAATCTTTTCTCATAGTTCTCTTGTCACATTAATTTTCCTTCCAAGAGGGCACTCTATTATTTTGGCAACCCACGTCACTTTCTCAAGTGCTGTTCTTTTGACACCATTATACTGTTCAACTCTTTCCGGATGATATTTTTTCTGGGGTTTGGACAGCATTATTTTGAGCTGAATTTTGTAGCTGCAACAAAGACAAACTAAAACCTTCCTCAAGAAAAAGTATTGGCTGTATAGTGACATATAATGTATCAAATTAAAGAGAAATGAATACAGAATACATCTGAACTATTTAAGTATCAGTATTGCAACAACTAAATATTAAAATGACACAACATTTACAGATGTTAAACACACAGGGATATTTTTGACACATGAGGTTGTGTGTTTAAGTTACTTTTTTACTTGTTCAGCAACACAACTATCCATTTCTAAGAATTTACATGCCTTCGCTGTTTAATGATGCATCAGCTGGTCTTTATTTGAAACAGTTAGTCTAAATAATTTGACCATTTTTTTATGACATGTCAAATTTCACAACAACTAAATTCCAAACACAGCTGATCAAAACAGGGACGATGTAATTGAAATAGTTTGTTCAACTTCATCCTAACCTATATTATCTTCAGTAGGTTTAGCACTTTCATTATTAATCATAATATCCAGACTGTTGTCACTATCTGGCTCAGATTCATCAACAACAGCAGCAGTATGGACAGTTCTTGAATTTTTGCCTTATCGTTTGGTCTGGAAAATCACACACAAAATTGTATCACACTGAATGAATTAAAAACAATTTGAAAATTAAACCTATCGCTTCAACACGCTTGGAAAACAATAATACTTCCTTTCACTAATTCTTGTTTTTCTTAAGTGGCAATCTGTCCGATCATGATGAAAACAGAAGCCACCAAAGTGGCGATACGTCTGCAAAAAAGCTAATATGGTCAAAGTATTTTAGTTTCTTGCTGGTTTTATGAATCTTCACCCATCCAGAAGAGAAAGATGCATCATGGAAGTTCTGGCCATTAATCTTCATAATATAAGATTCCATGGACATAATTAGATAATTTCTTCCATGATATGACTCTTATGCTAATGTTCTTCCCATGTGGGTTCAGGGACCCCTTTGTGGAAAAAAATAATAAGAAACCAAGTTGACCAATGAGGGGTATTGCCTTCAAAATCAGATTGCATCTGCTTGAGAGACAAGCAACCAACAATCTGCATATTAAAAAGCCAGATCTTTAAAATGGATGTGCACACAGAACTCAAGTTCTGAACCAGTTCTAAAGTTCAGAAGAAACTTTCCACTAAAGTTTACAGCCACTAAATGTGAAGAAATACTCATGTCCAAAGCCTCACGAGCAGTCATTTGTTTTTTAAATAATTGGGTCCTTCCAAAGTTTTTTTTACCACTAACAGACCATGATTGGCATTTAATTCATTCTTCATGACCTTAAACATGCACTAGTCTAAGTTACAGGGAAGTCACGTTGTTTTGCCTTCGGCGCTATCATCTGTGATATCCTATATTCTCTATTACACTATGTGACCACTTTTACCGACCCCACAACATCTAGAACTGGCCCTAACCACAACCCCCCCTACCCCACAGCCTCAACCTACATCCCACAAAAGAGTGCAGCTTACATCCCTTGATGTTAGAATTGTCAACATTTTGCAGTGGACTCTAAACAGCCGTGTTGTTGCAGAAAAGCAACACAACTCTCCTTGTCGCTCATCAACCCTGACAGCTGAAGTAAATTCATGTCATACTTAAAGTCTGAGAATGTTATAATATATGCAGTGTCGCCGGCCACTCACCGCTTACAACAACAAGTAAAACACATGCGCAATATTTAAAGCTCAGAGCATCAAACACAACACAATGTGACACCCCTGTAGCTTATCTTGCGGCGGAAAACATTATTAGGACCAATCATTGATACTGGAAACCAAACCCTGGCCTGGAAATGATTGTAAAATGTATTTGCTAATCACTCAGCCATAGAGCCACTGGCAACAGGTACTTAAAAAAAAAAAATTTAAGAAAAATTATTATAAATGATCTACGCATAAAGCATAAATTTTTGTCTCTTTCATTTCCAGGGGGCCAGATTTTCAGGAAGGAAAGATGAGCTACAAGGAGTTTGTGTGGTTTCTTTTAGCAGAGGTGGATAAAAAGCACCCAACAAGGTATCATTGTCATTTTGCATCTCCCCTTTTTTTGCACGGTGAAAACATTGGAAACTGTATACTCAATCAAGTCTATTGTGTATTGCCAGTCCCAGCTGGATGAGGATATTTCTTTAGTATTTTTTACTTAAATAATATACTGCTTAACCCACAGAGTTATAACTGGATCATATAGATTCCATACTATTTTCAGTGCATACTTTGCAGAAGAGATAATGCCAGTTGTAAAATCAGTCACATAAATCAGTAGTGATCATAACCGAGTTATAATAATAGTAAACACAAAAGAGAAGAAATCCAGAAATAACTACAGATGTTACTACTTTAAAGAGGCTACAGAATAATGCAAATATGGACAAATTTAAACAAGATATTGAAAAGATAATCAATGACCTTTCAGTCCACACTTTTGGTTCAGTGTAAATTTGTAGGAACCTAAGTTCTGAATTGAGTCTCTTTTCAGTCATTGATTTCTATTAAATGTCTTGTGTGGGAACAGTATAGTTTGCCTTCCAAGACCAGATCTGTTATATTAGTTGTATTGTATTCAGGTCTGTATATTGCATTATATTCAGGTTTGTATTTTAGTTGCATTGTATTCATGTTTGTATATTAGTTGCATTATATTCAGGTTTGTATACTGCATTATATTCAGGTTTTATTTTAGTTGCATTGTAGTAAGGTTTGTATATTAGTTGCATTGTATTCTGGTTTGTATATTAGTTGCATTGTATTCAAGTTTGTGTATTAGTTGCAAAGTATTCAGGTTTGTATATCAGTTGCAATGTATTCAAGTTTGTATATTAGTTGCATTGTATTCAGGTTTGTATAGTACACCTTTGAAATGTATCCATTATTTTAATGGTTTCATCTACCTCTGTGTCTAGATATTTATTTGACTGCATTTTTGTACTTTCATTAATTACATCCATGTTTTTCAGCATTGAGTACTGGTTTCGCTGCATGGATCTGGATGGGGATGGTGTTATATCCATGTATGAGATGGAGTATTTTCATGAAGAGCAAATGATGAAAATGGAGACCCTTGGTATTGAAAGGCTGCCTTTTGAGGATACAGTTTGCCAGGTTGGAAATAGTGGAGGGAGAGAGAGAGCGATAGAGAGAGAGAGAGAGAGAGAGAGAGGGGGGGGGGAGGGGTACAGAAAAACATACATAATGAGACAGTGATAAAAAGAGACAGACAAATATATTCAGATAGACAAAAATATAGAGAGGGACATAAAAACGAAGGCACATACATAACAAATAAGGAGACATGTATACAGAGACATAAAATATAAAAACTTACTTTGATAATTGATTGTTTATATAGTGTTACTTTAGCTATTAAAAGTTTGTTGATTATTTAGTGTATTAGTAATTAGTGTATTTACTTTACTAATAAATAACTTGTTAATTAGATAGTATTTTTTGACAGATTATTGGCTCACTGAACTATTAAATGTGATTTTACTAGTTCCCCATGTGGGTTCTGGGGCCCCAATGTGGGGAAAACAAGAATAGATCCACTGCTTGCCTAAAAGCATGACATAAGAATCAACTAATTGGGAGCTTCCTTTGAAGTCAAAGTACACCAGCTTGAGAGGCAAAGAACCAACAGTCTACATGCTAATGAGTCAGACCTGTCAAACGGATGCACATGCAACACTCAGTTTCTTGAACAGGACTAGAGTCCAGAAGTAGACGAACAACCAGAACTTTCTGCCATAGTGTACAGCTGGTGAACATGAAGAAGAAGAAGAAGATTTTACTTGTTCATGTTCAGGTTTTGCAGTTTGCTTTGCTCTTAACTTATGAATTCATACGCAGATGATGGACATGGTAAGCCCAAAAGTCAAAGGAAGGATAACTCTCAGAGATCTGAAAGCTTGCAAAATGACTGATGTTTTCTTTGATACCTTCTTCAACCTGGATAAGTTCCTGGAGCACGAGCAGAGAGATCCATTCACAAATACCAGGGTGAGTTGCATGTCTTATTTCTGTCTACTTGTCTGTCTGTTTTTCCTCCATTCTTGCTACTTTTCAAAAGTCTGACTACTCCTGCTACTCAGAGAGTCACACAATGGATGCCAGTCAGTATAACAGTGAAAATGTGGGATACCCTGTTCATTCTTCTATGAAGTTATAATTAGAACTCCCCGTGTGGGTTCTGGGGTCCCATTGTGGGGAAAACAAGCATAGACCCACTGCCTCCCCAAATAGTTGACTTATTGAGGGTTTCCTTTGAAGTTGAAGTACATCTGCCCAAGAAGCAAGGAACCAACAGTCTGCTCATAAATGATTCAGATCTGTAAAACGCACATGCAACACTCAGATTCTAGAACAGGACTGCAGTCCAGATATGGAAGAACAACCAGAACTTTCCACCAGAGTTTACAACTGGTGAATGCAAAGAAGAAAGAAGAATTAAACATGCAACACTCAGATTCTAGAACAGGGCTGCAGTCCAAATGTGGAAGAACAACCAGAACTTTCCACCAGAGTTTACAACTACTGAATGCAAAGAAGAAAGAAGAATTAAAAAGTCTCATAAGAAAGTAAGTATCAGTTGGTTCATTACTGTTGCACAGGGAGAATACTTCTTAATTAAAAAAGAGCAGACATTATATATGATTGGCCACTTCTTGTTAATACCAGCTATCATTTAAAATGTGGCTGCTGAGGAAGGAGACAAAGCACTGGATTTTCTGCCTAGGATGTGTGGGTAAGGAGTAGGCTGATAGATGGGCTGCTGCCATTCCTCTGGGTGGTAAGCTACTGTATGATAAAACAGACATGCTAAGCACTCTCTTGGATTAGTCAGAAAGTGTAATAGGACAAAATATGTGTATCCATACCTTGAAAGAATGATTCATTGGCTGGAGGCAGAGATTCTGGGTGACCTAAGACTGAGGGGAAAGCAGGTGGACTTTTATTCACGTTGCAGCTGGCACTGTGAGCAAGGGAACGTTTTGTTGGTTGCTGAAAAAAGAGACGGAGCAAGGTGTGGGAATGTACCAAGTGCAATCATGTCTGATCTTAATTGACCAATTCATTCATATCTAAAATATTTTTTTTTTCTTCCTCTTCTCCTTTCCCTTCATTCCCTTTTCACCAGCTGTATTAAAGGCTTACTTACTTACTTAGTCACTCTTCTTCTACCTTGGGGTGTAGACGTTTGCCTGAGAGATTACCAGACTTCTCCACTAGCAGTTTTCTTTCTGGCTTTGTTCCATTCCAGTCCTCTGTCAATCATGAACTCTCGCATGTTGTCTTTTCAGCAGACCCTGGGTCGCCTGGAGGTCTGGTTCTATGGCTGTTGGCCTCCCATGTTGGCCGATTTTTCTTCCATTCTGAATTCATGTCCAAACCATCATAACCGTGACTGATCCACTCAAGTTTGCAAGGTGTGGGATTCAAGATCTTGCCTATATGAAAAGTCCTCAACTAATTTACACCTGGCAGGCTGTCTTTTGCTGACTCCTTTGAGAACTTCATTTCTGGGTTTCCATTCTCCTCTTTTCCCTGTGTGTGTTCCAGGATTAGTATTTGTGTGGCTACATGTTTAGCTAAGAATCGAAATGCAAGATGAATGCACAAAGAGAAATGACACCCCCACCACCTTCATGATAAAATATATGCATTTCAATAGTCACTGACATCTGTGGCTTGTGGGGGCATCTGTGGCTTGTGGGGGCATCTGTGGCTTGTGGGGGTATCTGTGGCTTGTGGGGGCATCTGTGGCTTGTGGAAGCATCTGTGGCTTGTGGAAGCATCTGTGGCTTGTGGGGGCATCTGTGGCTTGTGGAAGCATCTGTGGCTTGTGGAAGCATCTGTGGCTTGTGGAAGCATCTGTGGCTTGTGGAAGCATCTGTGGCTTGTGGAAGCATCTGTGGCTTGTGGAAGCATCTGTGGCTTGTGGAAGCATATGTGGCTTGTGGAAGCATCTGTGGCTTGTGGGGGCATCTGTGGCTTGTGGAAGCATCTGTGGCTTGTGGAAGCATCTGTGGCTTGTGGGGTCATCTGTGGCTTGTGGGTTCATCTGTGGCTTGTGGAAGCATCTGTGGCTTGTGGAAGCATCTGTGGCTTGTGGAGGCATCTGTGGCTTGTGGGGGCATCTGTGGCTTGTGGAAGCATCTGTGGCTTGTGGAAGCATCTGTGGCTTGTGGAAGCATCTGTGGCTTGTGTTTTATATATGCAGTTTTTTTTACACACTTGGTTTGATTCATTCAGTTGCTGGCAATTTTGTAGCAGATTACTTTCTGTTGATTTTGACAATAGTATGAGCATCAGTTGTTGAGCAAGTAGGGGCAAACTACTCAACATAAAATTGTCTAATAAAACCACAAATAGCCATCAAGTGCTGTGGTTAGTTTGCAACCTTATGTTCCAGTTTACCTCTTCTCATAACATGGTGATTAGCAGACACATAGTCACACACACCCTCACAAACACACACACATGTGCAAACACACACACACACATACAGGGCTTTTTCTGTCTTTAGGCATTAGTACACAGTACCAGCACCCCCCTCTTTTTAAAGGGTGTAATTTTCTCAGACCTGCTGTAATATACTCACTTTGTGGTGAGTACAGGAACCTTTTAAAGATATGTTATGGTAAGTGCAGGCACCTATTTTTCTAGAAAGAAAAAAAGATGCCCTTTATGTATAGTCGTAAACAATGTCAATCCACTAGTGTATTGAATGTTCTCTCTAATATTTATACAAACATCATGAACAGGATCCTAGTGTGGATCCCAATGAAGATAATGACTGGAACAGATACGCAGAAGAAGAGTATGACATTCTTGTTGCAGATGAGGGAAACATGGAGCTGGATAATAGGTAAATATTGTTTATGGTAAAAGAAAGGAATGTTGGATTGGTTTACCATTAAATTTGATGCTGCAGGTGATGGGTAAACTGATTTTGTTAAATTAAGTAATTTTTACAGTAACTCTTTTAGTTTCAAAGAGTGATATCTGATGTCATCCCCCTATGGGTTCTGGAGCTTCATTGTGGGGAAGATAAGAATAGACCCACTGCCTACCGAACAAGCATGTTGTAAGAGTGAGCTAACTGGGAGCTTCCTTCAAAGTCAGAGTGCTTCTGCCTGGGCAGTAAGAAAAAAAAAACAGCTTCACAAAAATTAGCCAGTAAAATGGATTCACATGCAAAATTTAGGCCCTGACACAAACCAAAGTCCAGATGGATAAACAACCAGGACTTTACGCTGGAGCTTATAGCCAGTGAACAAAGATTTATGATGTCCAAGAAAGGCAGTAATTGAAACATCCAATGCATTGGTGTAATACTTTAACAAGGGCTAAGTACACAGTCATTGGTTTTTGAGTATCAATATCTAGCATGAGAATGGAGGTGGAGGTGGTCACTGCAGCTTTCCGGTGGCTAGAGAACAAGATGCATACAGACTCTAAAAGCATTCTGAGAAAGGTGAAGACAGGGATGCTTCGAGCAGAGTGGCAATCCTCACTGGGAAGGTCACCGGTGGTGATTCATAGTTTGGATCTTTTCTCCAGGTCATGCCGGTGTGGTGGGGAATGAACAGTTGGACAGATTGGCTGGATCTGTAATACTGGTTGGTAAATTTATACATGACAAGGCAAATTAAAGGTGACAAATTAAGGGTTTGTTAAAATCAGATGTTTTGGTTGAAAGCACAGATATCACAGCCTTACTACAGCAAAGACATTCCACAACATGACATTCTAACCATCCTTTTAAGGGCAAATGCAGAAGAAGGAGAAGAAGAAGAAGGAGGAGGAGGAAGAAAAAGGAGAAAGAATAAGAAGAGGGGAAAGAAGGAAGAAGAAGGAAGGAGGATAAAGAAAGAAGAAAGAGGAAGGAAGAAAAATGTAGAAGAAGAAAGAAGAAGGAGCCATTATTACCCTTGTTAATCAGCATGATAATGATAACTAATTTTTCTGGGTCTAGTACCCTTGTTAATGAACATGGCACAAGAAAATGTCACTAACTTTTAGGTCATCATTACCCGTGTTAATCAACTTGGCAATCAACATAGCACATGATAATAATGACACCAATTTTTAGATCATAACTAAATTTCTATCTACACAGATGACAACACTGCCCTCTTAATCTGTGTTCACTAAATAAACTTGTCAGGTTATTTTGTTGTTGTGTGTTCAGTAAATAAACTTGAAATATTCTGTCAGATTATGTTGTTGTTGTGTGTTCAGTAAATAAACTTGAAATATTCTGTCAGATTATGTTGTTGTTGTGTGTTCAGTAAATAAACTTGAAATATTCTGTCAGATTATGTTGTTGTTGTGTGTTCAGTAAATAGACTTGAAATATTCTGTCAGATTATGTTGTTGTTGTGTGTTCAGTAAATAAACTTGAAATATTCTGTCAGATTATGTTGTTGTTGTGTGTTCAGTAAATAAACTTGAAATATTCTGTCAGATTATGTTGTTGTTGTGTGTTCAGTAAATAAACTTGAAATATTCTGTCAGATTATGTTGTTGTTGTGTGTTCAGTAAATAAACTTGAAATATTCTGTCAGATTATGTTGTTGTTGTGTGTTCAGTAAATAAACTTGAAATATTCTGTCAGATTATGTTGTTGTTGTGTGTTCAGTAAAAAAACTTGAAATATTCTGTCAGATTATGTTGTTGTTGTGTGTTCAGTAAAAAAACTTGAAATATTCTGTCAGATTATGTTGTTGTTGTGTGTTCAGTAAAAAAACATGAAATATTCTGTCAGATTATGTTGTTGTTGTGTGTTCAGTAAAAAAACTTGAAATATTCTGTCAGATTATGTTGTTGTTGTGTGTTTAGTAAAAAAAACTTGAAATATTCTGTCAGATTATGTTGTTGTTGTGTGTTCAGTAAATAAACATGAAATATTCTGTCAGATTATGTTGTTGTTGTGTGTTTAGTAAAAAAACTTGAAATATTCTGTCAGATTATGTTGTTGTTGTGTGTTCAGTAAAAAAAACTTGAAATATTCTGTCAGATTATGTTGTTGTTGTGTGTTCAGTAAAAAAACTTGAAATATTCTGTCAGATTATGTTGTTGTTGTGTGTTCAGTAAATAAACTTGAAATATTCTGTCAGATTATGTTGTTGTTGTGTGTTCAGTAAATAAACTTGAAATATTCTGTCAGATTATGTTGTTGTTGTATTTTTTTCTTGTCCAGAAATTTTGAGGCTGATTTTGAAGGAGAAGATGATGCTCTATTACAAGACGAGATATTAAGGTCCATGCAGATTGAAGGACATCAGAGGTCTCCAGCAGATCTTCAGCCGGCAGAAGAAGGCTATGAATTTAGCAGTGTTGCATTTTAGAAGTTGAACTCAAGAGGAATTACTCTTGATTGCAAAGAAATAGTTTCATAAATATATCATCGTTGTTATCACCCTTATCAACAACATCATCATCATCTTCTGTTTTTTTTTTTCTTTTTTCTTCAACTCTTCGTTTTTTATGTGTGGTCTAGTCATAAAAAGAAATAATTAATCTCTTTCACTGAATGCCAGGGTAGTCAGCATGGTGTAGTGGCTATATGCTCGCCTGCAGATCGGAAGGTCGTGGGTTCGCTCCCTGATGAGGCCAGACTTTTTTTAAGAAATGACCTTGGCTCCCAGGTGGACCCAACCTTGAGTGGGTACCAGGTGCAGTCCTGGGAAGTAAAGGCAGCCGGCATGATGCTGACCAAGTCACCCATCATGTGCCGATTGGTCTATAAAAATATAGGTCTAACCCTATATGCCCAATACACCTAAAGGCGTGGAAAAGGTTCTTTACTTTACTGAATGCCAGGCTTTATTTACTTTACTATTTACTGCAATTCCTGCAGTCTTTCACATACTAATCTCATTTTCTAATGTCTCGCTTTTGTTTTTGTCTTGCTATATTTCATTTACCTTATGGATTCTATCAGAACTGCCCATTTCAGTTATTATTTTGCCAAAAACATGTTTATTTACCTCAACATTTGTTTCACTACAACATGTCTTAGTATGTATGTATTAGTTTCACTGGATGGTTATTTTTAAAAAGAACTAATCTTCTTCTTCTTCTTCTTCTACTTCTTCTTCTTTGCATTCACCAGCTGTAAACTCTGGTGGAAAGTTCTGGTTGTTCGTCCACTTCTGGACTGCAGTCCTGTTCCAGAACCTGAGTATTGTGTGTGCATCCGTTTGACAGATCTGACACATCCGTGTGCAGACTGTTGGTTCCTCGCCTCTCAGGCAGATGCACTCCGACTTCTAATGTTAAAATGTAAATTATTTTATTTTATTTTATATGTAACACCATTGGGTATTACATTGTCTTCTGTTGTAGAAAAATGGATGTGTATATTGTGTTTATTTTATTTATGTGCAATAAAACATTTTTTTAAGCTTAAAAACATGATTTGATATTCAAGCAGTAAAATTAACGCCAACATTTAAAAAACATACAATTTTTTAAAAAAATGCATACCTGCTGGGAAGACAACATGTGATATTTCCTGACTGACAGAGGACTGGAATGGAACAAAGCTAGAAAGAAAACTGCTGACAGAAAATTCTAGTGATCTCTCTGGCAAACCCAGCAAAAGCCATTGTTGGTACTAAATCTGTCCGTCCTCAATACTCAGTCATTTTAGTATTTACATTCTGTTTGTGAAAGTTTGTAGCTTTTGTAATCTGTGTTTGTTTGTCATGGTTCTGATCCATACAACAGTATTAATTTTTTGTTCATGTTAAACATTCAACATTTGATACTGGTTTTAATTAATTTGATTTTACCTTCCCACAGGTCCTAGTGCCATAAAGTCTTTTTTAGCCATTAAAGTTTTATTTTGATATCTCACCGTATTCCTCTTGTCTTGGAAACTGAAAAAGTTTGGCCATATCAAGCGCTACAGCAGACTGAAAAGAAAGATTACAAAAGACGTGGTGCCAGGAAAGATGGGCACAGGGTTTAAGTGACACCTTGAGTATGAAAGTGCGTGAGGCAAGAGATTTGGTGAGAGCCCAAGTTTCTTTCAGGCATGCTATGATGAGAGCGATATTCTGCAAAGGACCTGGTACATAATTTTGAGTTTATTCCCCCAACATTTCTATATATCTGTAAATTATTTTTATGTAACCAATGTTTTTTTTTAACCAGTGGCTGGATCACCAAGTGTGTTACCAGGACCCTTTGAAGAAGAACAACAGTATTGTGATACTCTACCCTCTTAAATATTTATAAGAGGCAGCTACAATAGGGTTGGTTGCCTTGGAATTGACAGCTTGCATTGATTCGGTTGAATTCCTACCCTTCACTAGGCATTTATGAGTGGTAGAGCTTTAAGGTTTTAAACAACGGATCAACATTATGGCACAAGGGTAGTAACCCATAAGTGCTCCGTTCTACTTCTAACTCAAGTCTGAGTCCAAAGAAGCTCAGCACAGTGCACAGGCTCTGTAGCACCGGCAAGGATCCTGAAATACTTCAGGTAGATTTTTAACTCCAGATTTTACCTGGGCAGGGCTGTTGGGCTACTTTTTTCGATTTCCAACTGCCAAGGGATTTTTTTTACGTGCCAAGCAATGCGCACGGGCGTCGGATCTCACTACACAAAGACCAGGGGAAATTGGTACCTGGTCAGTAATAGTTTGTTAGCAAGTTCACAGCCAAGTCAAGCACAACTTGAGAAAGCCTCAGAGGCAAGGAACCAACAATCTGCATACAAATCAGTCAGATCTGTAAAATGGATATGCACACGACACTCAGGTTTTGGACCAAGACTCATGTCCAAAGGTGGACGAAAAACCAGAACCTTCCACTGTAATAAGCCAGTGAATATTAAGAAGAAGAAATAATTGTACGTAAAAGTTGACACCTTTCTGGCAAAGTTTACAGTCTGGGATTCTGAAGCAGAAGCGGAAGAAGAAGACTCGGTCTTTCAGAGAGTTAATCCACCAAGCAGTCAATGAATGCAAGTCTAGTTGAAGTTAGCAATAGTAATTTTGACAACAGTCAGTAAATGTTAAAATTATGTATCTATACTTTACAAATATTTTATAAATGTCTGTTTTAGCTTGTTTCGGAAACAAGAACATTAAATTATATATTTATTTTCAGATCTTTTGTTTTGCTCTGTGTGTGTCCATTTGGACTTTATTGATGGGTGGGTAGACAGGTGATAAATAATGAGATGGTGGAAAGAGGTTGAGGAGGGGGGTGGGGGGCGGGGAAGGGGGTGAATCCTTCCATGGTTAAAATATATTTAGGAAATCAAGGAAAATTCAACCCTATATTCCCATAATGTTTCATAATACCTAAAAGATTTTGGAAGCTGACTGAACAGCTAAAATCATTAACTGAAAGTAATTCCACTGTAGAAAATAAGAGTACAAAAGATGTGGGTTCTGGGTCCCATTTGTGAAAGGTGAAAAGTGGGTGCAGGGTGGGAGATAGACCCACCACTCCTCAAAAAAGCATGTTGTGAATGGCGAATAATTGGGGGTTTACGCCAATCATATGTATTGCACAGATATTGTGGCCGAGATGTTAATTACAACAAAAATACACAACTATCCTTTCAAAAGCTACCTCGGGGGGAAAAAAATGTTTTGAAAAGTAGAAATGTTTCAGTTTATTGACACGAGAAAATCAGCTTAGGCTTCCAGCGAAAGGCACTTACACACTTCTTTTTCTTCAGCATTCCGAGCCCTTGAGATTCATTGCTGCTATCTATCTATCTATCTATCTATCTATCTATCTATCTATCTATCTATCTATCTATCTATCTATCTATCTATCTATCTATCTATCTATCTATCTATCTATCTATCTATCTATCTATCTATCTATCTGTCTGTCTGTCTGTCTGTCTGTCTGTCTGTCTGTCTGTCTGTCTGTCTGTCTGTCTGTCTGTCTGTCTGTCTGTCTGTCTGTCTGTCTGTCTGTCTGTCTGTCTGTCTGTCTGTCTGTCTGTCTGTCTGTCTGTCTGTCTGTCTGTCCGTCCGTCCGTCCGTCCGTCCGTCCGTCCGTCCGTCCGTCCGTCCGTCCGTCCGTCCGTCCGTCCGTCCGTCCGTCCGTCCGTCCGTCCGTCCGTCCGTCCGTCCGTCCGTCCGCCCGCCCGCCCGCCCGCCCGCCCGCCCGCCCGCCCGCCCGCCCGCCCGCCCGCCCGCCCGCCCGCCCGTCCGTCCGTCCGTCCGTCCGTCCGTCCGTCCGTCCGTCCGTCCGTCTCTGTCTGTCTGTCTGTCTGTCCGTCCGTCCGTCCGTCCGTCCGTCCGTCCGTCCGTCCGTCCGTCCGTCCGTCCGTCCGTCCGTCCGTCCGTCCTTCCGTCCGTCCGTCCATCCATTTAGCCAAGTATATGTCTAGTCTAATCTAATCTCGACTGCTGCCGACCCCTTGGCACGCCGGCTGCCGCCACAGCCTTGTCACCCTAGCTGTTTTTATAGCCTTGGCACCATGGATGCTGCCAGAGCGTTGGCACCCCGACTGCTGCCACAGCCTTGGCACCCCAGCTGCTGCCGCAGCCTGAGCACCCCAGCCGCTGCCACAGCCTTGGCACCCCGGTCACCGCCACAGCCTTGGCACCCCGGCTGCCACCACAGCCTTGTCACCCCGGCAGCCGCTACAGCCTTGGCACCCTAGCTGCTGCCTCTTGGCACCTCAGCTGCTGCCGCAGCCTTAGCAACTCTACTGCTGTTGCAGCCTTGGCACACCGGCTGCCGCCACAGCCTTGTCACCCGAGCTATATTTACTGCCTTGGCACCCCGGATTCTGCCAGAGCGTTGGCACCCAGACTGCTGCCACAGCCTTATCACCCCAACCGCTGTCGCAGCCTTGGCACCCCAGCGGTTGTCACAGCCTTGGCACCTCGTCCGCCGCCGCAGCCTTGGCACCCCAGCCGCTGTCGCAGCCTTGGCAACTCATCCGTCGCCGCAGCTTTTTCACCCCAGCCGCTGTCGCCACCTTGGAGCCTCGTCAGTCGCCGCAGCCTTGGCACCCCGGCCGACGCAGCAGCCTGGGCACCCCAGCCGGCACCACAGCCTTGGCGACCCGGCCGCTGCCGCAGCCTTAGCACTCCGGCCGCTGCTACAGCCTTGGCACCCCGGCTGCTGCCACAGCTTTGGCACCCCGGCAGCTGCTAAAGCCTTGGCATCCTGGCAGCTGCTACAGCCTTGGCACCCCGGCAGCCAGAGCGTTGGCACCCCGACTGCTGCCACAGCCTTGGCACCCCAGCTGCTGCCGCAGCATTAGCAACTCGACTGTTGCCGCAGCCTTGACACACCGGCATGTAACCCTAACTGTTAACACCAGATGCTGCCACAGCCTTGGCACCCCGACTGCCGCCAC